GATTCTCTGACTTCTGGTCAATCATGAAAGAAAAGAAGCATTACGTTGCAGGACCTCTTATCTTCTAAAACCATGGGCTTGTGTCACTTCTGTGTCACTCCTGCATATTACACCCCTGCAACTCCTGAATAACAGAGCAGAGAAAAAGACCTGTTGGCTCAGGAGCCACTGGAGTGCTCTTGCTTTAACCAAGAAGTGAGACCCTGGAGGTTTTGTCTGTTTAATATGGATTTTCTGGAAAGACATGTTACTGCAGCTTAATGATTGCCATCATGTCAGCTGAGGCGGCGTAATTGCACACCCTACTGCAACTGGAAGGTCAACTGTACTCTTCTGAATGTCTTCCCTTCAGCAGCAGTGTCTGGGTAAGCTGCAGGGTGTTGCATACAAGTTCAGTACCCACAATGAAGGGAGGAGGAAATGCAAAATGGCCCTTACAAATACGAGCTGAAAATAGCCAGGAGGGGCAAAACTAGTTTCCTGGCGATGCAGCCACTTCCATTGATTTATTTTCACACAGCCACTTTGTTGCTGTAGGCAAAGATGTTTTAGCTGACAGTGGCTCATTGAATGCTTCCATTTTTTCCCCTGCTTTTTCAGTGGAGCTGGTGGCCGGTTGTTTGGGCGAGGAACAGCTGTCAAGTCTGGCAGTGATCCAGCGCTGAAAGAGCCAAAGCTTCTGCAGGCAGGGTGTGCATGAGTGCATATAAACACAGGGCAGGAATGGGTTGGGGCTGCTGTTCCAACTGCATGAACCCAGGTCCTTCGGGTTGGGGGCCCATTGCTTACAATTCCAGCTGCAGTTGTACCATCTGATGGCAGAGATGCTGGCTGGGATTTAGTAGCTGCTGGGCTTGTGACAAAAAAAGTCCTCCAGACATGTGAAAATAAATGGCCTGGTGCCTGTCGCTGCAAGCACAAGAAGTGAAGGATTGTTTCTGTAGGAGCATGAATCAGTCTGTGCGTGTTTGTCATCTGGAGACTGGCAGCTGATAACTCTTGGAGACGCTTGCCACCTTGCATATAGAAACGGCTGTGTCAGAGGAGCCCGTGGAGCCTGTACCCGGGGAGGGCTTGCATAGCGGAGCTAGTGATCAGAGCAGCGCATCGTAGCTCAGTCTCTTGCTGCAAGCATTTATTTTTGCTGGCCGGCCTGAGGAGATTGTTACCCATTCTGTGCTTTGAGTTGTTCTCGCTGCTTCCAAATGCTCGGTGTGGCTGCCTAGCTAAAAACAGGTTGCATTCTTTTTCCTTTTCTTCCTTTCTTCCAAACTCTGCTACTTAGATCTCCTCTCTTTCTGTCCCTTTCTGTCTCAAAAAAGCCATTTGGGCCTGGTCTCTAGTACCTTGGAGTCCAGAGGATGTGTCTCTTATCAGTTTGCCAAATTCGCTGCAGCTTCTCAGAAGGTCTCATGTCCTCTGGTAGGTTGTACTTCATCTTTACTTCTCTCACTGTAGCCTTTACATAGCTGAGATACCACAGAAGTCATCCCCTGTCTAGGAAGACATGCAATTTTAGCACAACAGCTGCCTCTTTAGAACACTTGAAAGCTGCCCTGATGCCCAGGAGTGGATTTGCAGGATCTTTGCCAAAGGGCAGTGAGAGCCAGCTGGGAACTGGAGACAGGAAGCAAAGTAAGACCTTAAACTCCTCCAGCCTGCAGACTCTGCTGGTTTGTATCATTGCCTGCCTTAAGTCTAGCCATTGCAGGTTTCCCCTCTAGAAGAACTGCACTGGGGGTGCTCTTAGCCCACCTTGTCTAAAACACCCTTCCTTCTTGTCTACTCCCTTTCTTGACAGCTGTGTTTAGAGTAACATCAGTGGTGAGTTTCTTTGGCAGCAGGGAAGGGGGGAGTGGGATGGGCTGGCCTGTTGGCTGCTCTGCTAGCCTTATGACCATGTGTTTGTACAAAGGCTTAGAGAGCCAGAGTCAGAAAGGTGAGCTGGGAGGCAGGGTGGTTTGCACTGCAAGTAGCGGTGGGCAAGGACAGTGGTGGTGGTGACAAAAGCCCACTGGAATTGCCATGCACAGACCAGAAAGGCAATAATACTGTTAGGCACCACCTCCAGAGAAGAGCCTGGGATGTGGGTCCAGCCATGCCAAAGACCTTTCCAGTGTGGGTATTGTTACATCCAGCAAAACAAGTGATGCCAGTGGGAGGTGAAGGCATTATTTTGACCTGTACAGAGGAACAGCTTGAGGCAGTTGCTTGAGAGAAGAGATTGAGGTGAGGATGTGCTTGGGAGCAGTTGGTCTAGTGCAGGTAGCAAACAGTGCACGGTGGGAGTCAGAGCACATTTGCCTGACAGACCTGACTTTCATCGAAATCATAGAATCACAGAATAGTTAATCCAAATTAAAGTGATGGTTCAGGAAATTAAGCTTGCACTCCACCCCTTTGCTGAATTAGAGCTGCCAAAATAATTAGAAGTCTTCTAAAAGGCCAACATTAAGAGGAGAAAAGTGTTAACTTTAGAGAAAACAATTAAACCGTCATGATGAAAAAGCAGCTGCCTTACAGTTTGGGAAAAGTACAAGTATTTCAGAAGAGTAGAATCATAGGATGGTTTGGGGTGGAAGAGGCA